TGAGACAGTTTCAAACCAAATTGGTAGGACAGTTTCAATAATTAACACATTGCATACATTCTTCCTAGTGGTTAATTGCTGTACAAGATGTGGACTTGATATCCTATTTACAAACACCATCAAAATGATACTTTAATTGCAGCCTCTACTCAAACCTTTTTAGCAGTTTCCCATTAGTCTCAGGCTAGAGACAAGTCCCTGAATATTGCCTTATTCTGGTCCTGCTATCTCTCAGCTGTGTCCTGTTCTAGGAACTTTTTGACACACGTGTGAGGACTGAGCCTAAGGCCCAATGCAAACTTAAAACTTGCTACTGCTGAGCTTCACCTTCAGCATATTTACTATTTTAGTTCTTCAAACATGTCATTCTCCTGCTCACAGGCCTTTGAACTGAGTACGCTTTATAAAGCTATTCCTCAAACTCTTTGTCTAGTCAACTTTTAGCTTACTTCCTCAGCAGGACCTTCCACAATCTATTGTCCTCTTACAGAACCACATCAATTCCTCTTCATAGCATTTACAGCAAGTGGAATTTCATGGTTACTTATTTGCTGTTCTACTGGACCTCAATTGTAAAATCTTTGTCTCTATATTTGTTCTTCATACTATTTCCAAAAGCTCACTTACTGACTGACATTTAAACAAACTCTCAAATTGTTTACTGAAAGAATAAATATAAATGAATGAAAATGTGTCCAACATTGAATAACCAAGTCCGATTGATGCCACTTCTAAAATATCTCTAGAATCCATTTATTGCTTTTCATTTTCTTGGTGGTACAAGTCCTCATCATCTCTGGTCTAAACTATGAAATAGCTTCCTCAGTGGTTGACATTCCCCTGCACTTGAGCCTCCTCAAACTGTCTTAGAGTGATCTTGGTATAAGCCTGGATCCAGAATACCAATCCCTTACTTTTTTTAATGGTAAGTTTGTACTTTAGTGGTGCAGTAGCTGGCTGTGTATCTTAACACCTTTCCCCGAGGGATACAGGAAGCAATAAATGTGTTCATCTACTTGGTATGGTAAATGGCAAGCAGTATGTACATATTCAAAAGTGGAAAAATGGAATTTGGACCCAGCTGATGCTCCATGTAACTAGTTTTATGTATATTTACCCGAGCATCACAGAGGGTCCAAAAGACCCAGATTACTCCAGGATTTTTTAAAAAGGGGTTTTTTAGAATTTTCTGCTAGAAGTAGCCTGGTTCAGCACAATGGCATATGAGAAACAAGATTGCAAGTTTTAGAAGAGGTCAAAAGTGAATCAGATTACTCATGCACAGATAATGAAGATGATCCATTATGGTAAAATCCATGCTTTCATAAGAGAAGAGTGGTGGGGGTAGATGGTGATGGTGATGGTGATGGTGATGATGATGATGACTTTGACACAGACCATATGAACCAACGTTCTTAAAACAGTGAAGTGGAGCAAGAATTGACTGATATAGACACAGGGGATGCAGATCTCCTTGATTCAGATGATAAAGAACACAAATATGTGAATACATATTTGACTAATCAAAATGTTGCAGAATGGTCACATTACCAAATGGAACGATCCAATGTTAGAACTAGGTCTGAAGTTATCATGAAGGTCTTGGTAGGGTGAAACATCAGACAGGATGCTAGTACTGCCATTCAGT